TGCGGTACTTTCTATATCTAGTGACTTTAGTTTAAGTTTTACCTTAGCGACATCTAGAATAAATAGCTGCACTACTGCTGCTTGCCGCCATTGTGATTGATGTAACTTTTTAAAAATGAAATCTTTGAGAATGACTCCTGGCCGCAACATTGGATTTTAAATGACAAAACTTTGAATATTGAAAGAAGAGGAGCAGTTTTACAGCGACTGTACCATTGAATTTATAACTATCAGAAGCGCGGATCCCATATAACAGTTTGTGACCATGTGCCAACTGGCCGCCGCTAGGAGCAGTTCGATCGTTTGAAAGTCCGTGGGCGATCGAAAGTGGAGCGTTACATTGACATTAGATGGCAGCATTACAAACCATTTATTTTGACCATTCGAATATTTTCCTTTTTAATCGTCAGATGTCAGGAACTCCGGATGTTTTTTGTGTTATCATTGGAATGGTTTTATAAATAGGATTGGAATGTTCTAAAAATAGATCCCTTAAGAAGCATTGCGTAAATTTGTAATGTAAATAATAATACATTTAGACGAACGAAGCTTGCAGTCCTTGTCCTTGAAGGAATGCAATTTCATACATTCTATTCACAGGCAGTAAAATAGGCAGGTTCCACATTTTTACTGAAAGCGGGAGATTTTGTTATTAAAAAACGATCAAAAAAAATTTGAAGGCAAAATATTGTCAGTTGCAAGCAGGCAGCTACATCATTTCCACATTCACATTTGATAACTAAATTTCGCGAATCAGCTTTTTTTATAACCATGCAGCATTGTGCACAAATAAATCGGTCCCAGTTTACGTGAATTCGTATACCTACTAGAGCTGAGCGATAAATGAAATTGTTATCGATTTATCGATAAGTCTGTTCAGTCTGATAATTATCGATTAATCATTAATTGATAACTATCGATAATTATCGATAACTTTAATCACTTATCGTTAACTTTCGATAATAATCGACAATTATCGATAAATCGTAAGGCTAATTTTCGATAATGATCGATAACGTTTGATAATTATCGATAACTTTTTATAATTATCGATAACTTTTTATAATTATCGATAACTTTTGAAAATAATTAATAATGATTGTTAGCTGCTGATAATAATCGATTATTATTGCCACGAAAATTGTCTATCTCTGATATTTATTGATTAATAAATAAGTAGCGGAAATTATCAAGAGAAAACTATCCTTTCATAAATCTCATCGATATATATTCTCAATCGATATATTACATCATCCATGCGTACACTCGCTAACATTTTTGTTTTTTTGGTATTGATATTGCGAGAGACAATTTAAATAAAACAGGATCTTTTGATGCTCAAGTTTTCTGAAATCAAAGGTGATCAAGTGGACGATAATCCTCAAAAATGAGTACAGCAGTAGGTTGTGAATTGTGATCATATGGCAACTCCACAATGCTCTTACATCGCTTTTGTTGGAAGTAAACTGGTATACCTAAACATTGAAAAGTTTATGTCGTTAAAAATTCTCTCGATAATTATCTATCGTTTAGTTGTGAGATTAATCGATAGATTATCGGTAATTATAGGTTTATCGACCAATCCTTTAACATTTTCGATAAATTACACCGGTCTACAGCATTTTTGCGCACGGGACATATATACCTTATTTTTATTGCTTCTATAGCCACAAATAAGAATTAGAACAAAAAATGGTTATGTATTTGTTTTTGTGTGAAAAAAATGCAAAAAACCTAAAAAAAAATACCTATAGAATCCTACTTACATAGGCATGATTTATTAAATGGTAACGTTTCTACATTTATAATTTGTTTATCTTAGAGTCTAAATGTTTAAAAATGGAACAGTTTTGCTGTTTTTGTCATGTTCAACTGAATCTGATCTTCCATCATGCTTCCAACTTCCTGGCCTTGGGAAGGTACCTAAGTTCCATTGTCTCGAGAAAGTGTTGTCCTTATTCCAAATAAGCTCCCATATTATCCTTAAATTGATCTAAATGAGAATGTAACCTGTGCATCTTTATTCTTTAGAGACATTCTATACCCCATGATACAAAACCAAATCCTGTCAGCTCGTCATAATTTTCAGCTCTATGGTTTCCCAGGAAACACTGAACGGGAAACCATGGACTATTGCCTTAAAACTGTTCCAGGATTTTTTTTCCTCTTTGCTAAGTAACCGCGGAAAAATATCACCCTCCATTTTTCTTTTTTTTAGGGAAAACAAAGATTCCGCTTTAATTTTCGCCCCTGAAAGCTTTCAATCAAACCGCTGTAACTTTTGTAAAAGCAAATATTTTCGATGTCTTAATCGCACTTTTTATTTATTTTTGCTTATTATAGTCAGAATATATATTGTGTAAATCCCATGCGCAAAAAATTCTTTTTTTGTTGACCGGTCGACCATTTTTTTTAAATTTATCGATTGACTATCTATTAATCGATAATTATCGATAAGTTATCGATTAACCATTGAGAACAAATTTCAAACGTCAGAATTTAAAAGAAAAGAGGTTAACGACCTTTTTATTTTGTATCAAAATTGCCAGGTGTGACGTGTGATCCTAGATCAGGGGTCGGCAACCTGCGGCTCTTTTGATACCTATAAAGTTGCGGCTCTCCGTATTTATCTAAAGAAATTAGTTCATTTGTTCGAAATTCGCCTTTTTAATTAATCTTATTTTGTATCAAAAGTATACTTGCAGCAAATAATTATCTAATTTTTGACACTTGTTTACTTTCTGGTATTCTTTTGTTTTTTTTATTATAGCCAGCCTACTCCGATGTATAAACACGTAATTAATTAATGAGTAGGTACTTTTGTGAAATAACCTAAACACTGCGGAGTTTAAGCACAGGGCACCCCTTATAAACATTTAAGAGAAGACAAAAGCGAATAGCGAATAGTGGTAGTTCCATTTGAAAAAGAATAGTTATAGCACTTTGAACAAACGGCATTGAAACAACCAAATATTCAGGATGTTCTATTTAAAAAGATCAGTTATTAATTGACATCGTAAAAATGGAATGGAACACCCTGTACATTCAAAAATAATTTCTGTAGATCCGCAACCACCAATATTTTTACCAGCTATGTAGGAAAAACCGACGGACTGTTGCAGGACCCTGTATATAGCCAAAAACTATAATATTGAATCAAAAATTATTTGTGGCTCTTTAAGAATTGGGAAATTTTGTAAATTGTAATTTTTAGCTCTTCCGTTTCAATAGGTTGCCGACCCCTGTCCTAGGTAGTTTAACCGGTGGCAACGGTTTAACCGACACACACAAAAATTAAGAATAGATAGGTAGGTACATTTAATTTCTGTTACAGTGATCAAGGATGCCTGCGTATTTTTTGCTTTCCTGTTCAAATGTAATTCAATCTTCCTTAAGGAATGTTAAGTAAGGTCACGATTCATGAAAGGAAGAATGTTTATCTTACGTCATTCAACATCCTGTGTGCCACATAAATGCCTTATAAGTACGTTTCTTGGGTATCTAGAATTCTGTATACAACAATTACAAATCGAGATAGTGGGTTCATTACAGATTCCTGTATAATAATTAACAAAGGTAAAAAACTGACATTATTATTCATCTTTCTCGATGGTAGAGACATCTACGTCTTGTAATTTAAACTATTGAAAACAGTCACATATCCTGCCATTTAACCTGCGCTTCTGATAGTTATAAATTCAATGACTGTACTTTAAAATTCAACAATTGCTTAAAATAAAAAATAAAATGTGTCGTCTTATTTTAGCAATATTTTAGTAATTACTGTCTTTCTAGTAAAACCTTTATACAGTCCTCTAGAGTAATGTATGTAGAATTTATATTTTCAAAAACCAAGCTAAAAAATGATTGTATAAGCCTAGGAGTCATTCTCAAAGGTTGATATAATTTTACAATGCAATTTGTCAGTAGCGACCTCTATCGGTTCTCATGAATAGTATGCCGTCCTTAATGTTATTAGTTGTGTGGTGAATTTTACAAGAATTGATACATTTAAACTTACATTTTTATGCAGTAGTAAGGGAACAGTCCATTTTCAGTACATTACTGTAGTGTAATTTGTGCACATTGTAGGTTAGGGAGTGTAGATTTTCTATTTGTGATTATTTGTTCACATTAAAGGCACTGATAATTCCAGAGTATGAAGTATGAAGTTTATGAAGGGGAACATCGGTTGAATTCCGGGCATGTGATACTTTGTGGTGTAGGCAGTGGGCGAAGTGAGGCGGTATGCGGCGGTATGGCATACCGATAGATTTTTGGTTTTTGTGAAACATACCGGTAATAAATTTATCCACATAGGCATAACGGATAAAGTTTTTTCATGATAATATACGCATACATACAATACTAAGATTTTATCAGTTCAGCCATACCGGTAAAAAATATTTGCCACTTCGACCACTGGGTGTAGGTAACTGAAAAGAACGAACGAACGAAAATATTGTGTTATATAACAGTTCTTTAATAAGGGAGAGATACACCGTACATCTACTACTCGCTAACATACACAAATAACTAAATCGAGGTCCAAAATAATTAACAAAAAATGGGAACATCCAATATAAACACATATGAATTGGTTTGTTTTAATATCTTACAGACATTGATGAAGATGACGCTAGGTGGCGCATTGCTTAGCATTAATTCCCTATAATAGCGAAATCGTTAAAGTTAGGGATATAACATGTTACATATTTGTAAAAAAATAAGTATTTTTTAAGTAGATTCCAAATCAGTAATAAAATATAGGGTGTTCCATTTAAAAAAAATGCAAGTTCGGATACGCCACTGGAATACAGCACGCCCATGGTGATCAAAAATATTTTAGAAATATGGGGACGGTAATTGTGTACAATTTTGCCCTAAGACTTTTTTCGGTATCTTTTATGGTAAGTGAGTTATGATCCGAGGGATCTTAGGTGCTACACCGTGTATACTTATTAACAAAATTAAACCTCAGCCAATAAGTAAACTAGGCAACGCTGTAAATCTGTAGTAACGTCAGTACGGTAACTGCTAAAGTGCTAAGTAAACAGACCGGGACGATTGAAGAAGTCATTTTACAGAGTCAGAGGATATTTTGTTCTATAGATTAAACATGTCTCTAACAAATATTTGTCGTATTTGTTTGGATAATAACGTACAATTAACAAATATTTTCGAAGAGCAAGTTAACAACAAAAGCATATCAGCCCTTTTAGCCGAATTTGCTGAAGTAGAGGTGAGGGTACTAACCCGGATCCTTGTCTTACACCCGTTTGTAGGTTTCTCAAGGTGACGGACTTCCCCCAACGATTTGCTTCGTCTGTAAGGATAAACTCGTGGCTGTCTTAGATTTACGACAGCAAATCATTAGATCGGATAAACAACTGCGTACAGATGTGATTATTAAAGACGAGATCAAAATTGAGGATGGTGAAAGTTTGGAAATTGTCAGTGGCGAAGGGTCGATGTCTCCAGTTCAAGCAGAGGTTGCTAAGATGGAAACCATCACGCTGAAATACCATTGTGCCGAGTGTGATAAAAGCTTTGCTCGTCGAGATTACTTTATGAGACACAAGAGAAGGCACACAGGTGACGCAATGCCAAACATTTGTAATATATGTGACAAGCGGTACGCACTGCCATGGTTATTAAAGCTACATATGCGTATACATACTGGTGTCAAACCTTGCATCTGCAAGTCATGCGGGAAAAATTTTCGATTTCCAAGCTCCTTGACGAATCACATGCGAATACACACAGGCGATAAGCCATACAAGTGTACTATGTGTCCCAAAAGCTTCACGCAGAGTGGTGCCTTACAAGTTCATATAGCAGTACACACTGGTGAAAAATCGTTCATGTGCGAATTTTGCAGCGTGGCCTTCGGTTCTATTTCCGCGCTAAGAAAGCACATCCTCAGTAAGCACAATGCAGAGAAAGACAGATACTGCTGTCCTACTTGCGAAAAGTGTTTTAACACGTCGTCCGGTTTGAAAAGCCACATCAAGACGCACTCTGGCGAAAAGCCTTACTCTTGCGAGGTGTGCGCGAATCGGTTTACCGAACGTGGGTCTCTGAAGCTTCACATGCGAATACACGAGGGGGTGAAACCGCACGAGTGTAAGATTTGTAGCAAGCGTTTTACTCAGCCGACCTGTCTTGTGAGGCACATGAGGGTGCATTCGGGTGAAAGGCCCTATCCTTGCACCATTTGCTCGGAACGTTTCATGTATTCCCATCACTGTCGTAAACATATGCAGACTCATCATCGACAAGAGACTCTGATTGTCTCGTCGGATAATACAAGTTAAGTAAAATTGTCCAATGTGCAATGTATATATTTTTTATAATTTTTGTATAATAAAAATGGCAAAGTTATGCATAATTTTCTGCTGATTAATTTTCCCATTGAAAGTTTCTTGTAGCAAATAGCGAAGTTATGGCCCCCAAAATTTTTGAAAAGGTGCTGGCGTTCAAAAATTTTGATAATTTTAAAAACACTAAAAAACGTAACAAATTTTAAAAAAAGATTTTAGACAAAATTATAAAAAAAATAAAAATTTAAGACCTAAGAAAAGTTAGCTTCGCCATAGCATAGTATAATCATTGTTTAAATACTTTATAGTTAAACAACCATATGGAAATATTACTTGAACGAAATAAGTAGTTCTGGTCTAGAAAATCCAGTTGGCGCTACTATCGTGGTCTAAATAAGTAGTGACAGTTTACGACGAAAGGTTGCGCTTTATCATTACAGACTTTTTAGTAAGGCCTGCAAAAATCGTCAACAGATGGCTCTCCTTCAATGTAACCCGATCGGCTGCACAGCGTAACTGAGGCGACCTTGAGTAAGAATGCAAGTTGTAACTCTATACGGCTACGATTATACTATATAAACAAAACGCTGATGTTTAGTTCGACAGCAAATTCCTTTTACTTTACTGTTAAGAGAAAGAGTCACATATTTTATTTAATCTTTATTTGAAGCTCTAAAGTAAAGACCGTTTTTTTTCACTGCGCTTATAATAATTAAATTACGTAGGTACCTATGCGTATTACTTGTTTTTACCTATTGTGTGTTTAAGCGAATTCGCATTTATAATAATTTTTGTTCCGGGGTGAGTTGGTTGCGTTCAAACAAGATAAATTACGATAATTAAAATCTGGTAGTAAATTTTGCTTTAAGTTTGTATTAAAAAAAGCATGCGACGGTGCAGTAAATACACTCTGATTTCAAGTCCCTACAATACCATCCCTGTAAAAGGTAAATCGTAACATTTGCCCAATTTTTTTGACGTAATGTGGATTATTCACATTTAACGATCCTCGAGATCGTTTATAATTTTGTATTGCTGTCTGTCTGTCTGTCAGTTCAGTGTGCACGATAACTTTGTTTAAAAACGTCCCATATCCCTTTGAAAATTTTAACACAAATCAGAAAGGTCGTTATTGTTTTTCAGCTACGTAGAGGTAGACTATCGAGCCAAAAACAATTTCGAAGATCGTTCGGTATTCATTTGTATGGGAGTTTACCCAGAATGTATGGATTTTATTATAAAGTCTTTAAACAATGCTATTATTAGAAGTCGAAAAAAAGCTGAATTCAATTGAAATGTATTTCGTTACCTTTATACCTATTATTATTTGTTCAAAACTCTAAATTACACTAATTTATTAAGGATCTTCAGAGCCTTTGTAGTTTTGTATTGTCCGTTCGTCCGTGTGCACTATAACTCTTTTTAAAAGTGACCGATCATGTTGAAATGGCGTACGAGTAGATACTTATTGGACATTAAGGTCGTATCGAGGGTCGGACGCTATTGATTTTCAGGAAGCTGGCTCAACAGGAACAAAAGTTATAGGACTTCGAGTAAAACGGGAACAGGAAACACTGTGGGCTCAGTATAATAGAAATCAACATATTTTCATTGCCTAGGTCATGTATCGAGTTCGGACTGTCGCTAGATTATTCCCTGACACTTAGATGTGTAACAATTCAATATTCTTCTCTGTGGTCTAGGTCAAAAGTTTTAGAGCAAAATGTACCCAAAATTAGTCTTCACACATGAATTTAGAGTTGTAAAAGCTTTCAATGCCGGAAACATGAATTTGATGTATTTTTATTGACCATATGACCATATGTATTCTGATCAAATCATGTCAAAATCGTTATCATGCACCAAGATCGTTGGGAAATAGACCAAGAGCATTATTATGATGCCCTAGATTCGAATTTATTTATTAGTATTTTGCAAGGTTGAAATAAATGGACGTTAAAAACGTGGTGGACCGAGTTAAGGATCCTTCAATATTTAGCACTAATCCTTGAAATCGATTGGTGAAGGATTAACGTCGCTGTTTCTTTTCGTTTTCAAGTTTAGACGAGGAACAGATGGATATACGAACGAACAGACGGGCGGACAAAACCATCACATTTCATCACACAGCAATTTCTTTTGAAAAATTCCTTTAAAAGGAAACCGCGCGTATATATGCGTTAGGTCCACTTGTACGTTTTGCCATCATTTTCTGGAATATAATTACCTACCAGTGGTTAGAAAAACAGTTGTGACATGGCTATTAGAGTAAACAACATGCAAAAACCATCAAGTACGTGGAAGTAGAGGTCAACCAGGCCCTATTTTTTGTCATTGAGATATTTTCAAAGAGTAATTTCGTTCGAATTTTTTCAAAATGTGATAATTTTAGATATGTAATTTCTCTGGAAATGACTGATGGTGGCAATTATTCATTTTAGAGAACTTGTCTAAACGTTTACTGAGCGAAATTTCGCGTTGTGTTTTCTAAAAGTGACAGTTCTCATTATTGACTACTAGTTAGGTAATAATGTCCACATTATTAACCACTTTGAACAACTCATGTCATCAGACGCTAGTAGTGAAAAAAATCAATTTACTGGTAGTGAAATCATTTATCAGAAATGAAAAAAATTGCATCGTTTTTCTGTGAATACGAGATTATCAAAGAAACAATGCTTGTTTTGTCTTACAAATTTGTTGCATTTATACAAAAAAATTGCACATAGGTTCCTTCTTCTGTACAAATAGTAATTTAGAGACATTTCCAATGTCCATCGTCACTGCAGTCCGCACTTTGTCCGCGTAAAATAGCTTCGGCACTAATGAATCATGAATCCCGTCGCACCTGGCAACACTTTGCAGTAGCTGTAGGAAAATGGCGAGGGCTGTTTTTCTCAAGTGATAATCTTTTTTGTAACTTGCATACAAACAAATAGTTATGCTCTCATCATGCACGGTTAATAAGTAAGTAAGTAACTGTAATTTCATTTTTGCATGCAACGGCAACTAATACAAAAGAATGCAAGTACATAATCACTAAAATTTCTACCAAAATGATGGTGGTTTAAATTCAAAGATATTTTGAAAAAAAACAGAATTAGCTAAGTAAACTTGGCAAAATGGAACTTTATTACTGAAACGGCAACGTATGCAGTCTTTTATTAAAGGGATAATCGTCTCGTGGCATATAATGTAAGATAGCTGTAACTTGATATACCATCATTCTAAACAATGACACCTTATATATCTGCTTATCAACACCGACATTCCTCTAATGTTTTTATACTTTATCCTTGTTTATAAAGGAATGCGTAGTCAAGTTGTGATCCTCAACTTTTTTAACGTACTTTTGTTTGTTATTAATAGAGTACACCACTTGCCGGATGCAAAATGCGGAAGGTACAGCTGTATCAAAAGAAATATAACGGCAAGTATTTTTACATTGGATCTGTTCAACTATAAAGTATTTAAACAATGGTATAATACAAATAGTAAGCCAACCGGTTCGCGCCAATTCTTGATGATTGTAAAAAGATGTACCGGAATATGCTGCCACCTAGTTGAGAGTAGCTCAATATGCTCGTCTTAGAAACTACATTCATTATTGTCCCGGAATGATATCAGTTATCGAAGCGGGAAAATACAAAACATGATCGGTAATCGAGTTTAAATATTCTTCCCATATCGTATTCCTATTTCATATCGTCATAATCAAGCACTGTACTTACAAGCAGAGCTGGAATGATTACTCCAAAAAGTATTCGAATACTGATTACAAATTACTTTATCATAAAAGTATTTACAATAATTTGATTAGGTACCTACTTTACAAAATTTGTATTTAATTACTGATTACAATTGTAATCGATTTACTTTAGCATCGTAATTACATTCACTACATTCTGAAACATGCATCTTGCATGCGTACGTATCCATATACTTTATTTATCGTTAACGAGTTCGATGATTCTTTGTTATTACTTATTAACGATCCTCGAGACCGTTCATAATTTTGTATTGCTGTCTGTCTGTCGCCCGTATGCACGATAACTTTGTGTAGAAACGTCCGATAATTTAAAAAATGGGGACACATATTCTTAAGGATATAAGAAAGGGCACCATTGTTTTTCAGCTGAGTAAACTAACGGACCAAAAAGTTACAGCCCAAAAACTGCCCACATCTGAAAAGAAGGCTTTTTTTAATAATTTTTGTTGTTGAATGTCCGGTTTTCTGTGTTAGTAAATATTCCTTAAACCTCAAGAAACTACGCCGATTTGCCCCAACTTTTGTATCTGCGCAATCCAATTTTTTTTATGGGAAAATGAAATTTTGAATGTAAGCACCTCGAACGTTCCTGTCCCTCTTCCGCTTATATTTTTAGCGCATTTTCCAAGGAAGGTGGGTGCGCTATTGCAGCCACTTTCTCTGTCCGTCCGTTTGTCCGACCGAGGTTTCCATTCCCACAGTTTTCAAGATATTTAGTTCGTTCTTTTTGCATTCGGTAGCTTATCGCTCTGTCACCTCAATTAAGAAAAATCTTGACGAGTAATATGCGCATGCGCAAGCTGCGCAGTATCAACTTTCTTATTTATTAATATATTTTGTTGAAATTTTAACCACAGACACTTCTAGTAGGCAAACATATCGCATATAGGAAAAATCAGATGTACACAATGCACATGCGCGGACTGCGCAATGAACTTATTACTTAACTTATTTATGGAGATATTTCTTTGAAATTTTAACCACATATCCTTTAGTGAAACCAAACGTATCGCATATTTTAAACTTTAGATTAATGTGCGCATGGGCAATATCAAATGTCGTATTTATCGAAATATTTTTTTGAAATTTTTTTTCTGTAAAAGCAAACATATCTCATATTGTAAACATTAGATGTGGGCATGCGCAGTTTATACGCACTCTGCGCAGTGTCAACTTTCTTATTAATGAAGATATTTCTTTGAAATATTAACCACAGATACCCTCTAGTAAAGAAAAACATAGTGCCCATAGCTATGGCCTTTTGGAAAGTACTGATCAATGCCTGGAA